TTGAATGTAAACCGGCCAAAAATTAGCTGATTCGCATTCAAACGAAAGTGACACACTGCTCAAACGAACGTGACACTCTGTCACGATCGTTTCAACGTGATGTCTCGATCCTGGAACGAGAGTGCATCCGGTCGAGTTCGATGTCCGATTTGTTGGAACTCGCAGGAGATTCCGAGCACTATGAATATGGCAACGGCACGTATGGTGCAATGCATTGAGACATCGCACCATACGTGCAATGCCGTAGCCATATTGCATGGAAAGGCATTGCACTTGAAGTGCACGCGAGTGTGACGTCACATTCGTCGAATGAATTACTGTGAGGAAATTCCACCGGGTTGCGATGGAGTTCCGGAGAGGAGCAGTCTAGATGCTTCGCTCTCAGACTCGTGTTGACTTTCTTCTTTTAAATATTGACATTTTCTCCTTTGCCTACTTGGTTTTCTAGGCAGCAATAATAAGGAGTTTGTCCTTGGAACCATGTTTTGTATTGTTCCCTGCAAAGACTAAATTGTCACCAATTATTGACAATTTTTGAAGTCAATTGCGACTCCTTGTCATAGGAAACTGATTTTGAGTCAACATAACGTACAAAATCTTACATAGCTTTAGAGGAAATAGTACTTTTTTATTGGTGCTTTTCAACCTTGTTACTTAGAGACGAAAAGTCAACAAACGTCTGAGAGTGTTCGCGGTGCTTTAACCTGAAAGATCCTGGTAGCATCACCTTTTTCCCTGCCGCTGATGGATGGAGTGCAATCGCTGCTTTCACGGGCACTAACTTTGTCTCTTCGGTTGCAGGTGTCGGCGCGGACCAGACCCAGCGGTTCCCACAAGAGTTAAACCCTACGAAGCATTGTATTTTTAGGCATGCAAACGAAGAAATAATTCGTTAATTACGATTAATTTTCTTTGTAAATTTACGTATGCTTAAAATGTTTTGTTATTTGAAATTATTTTACTTCGCTACGGAGCGTTCACAAATTACGTAGGGCCCTCGAGGGGGTGGGGGGTCGGCCAATCGTTACTCGGGTCTTATGTGGGGGGTTGGGGGGTCTAATGCAAGCCTTATGTTAGGTTTCTGAAACGCGCTAAAATGGGTTACAGTTCGTAGGGTTTTTTAAAGGTATCAAGTGAGACCCACTCCCTGGCAGTGCAGGCTGAGTCGCAGTGTGCGATGGGGAGTGGTCCTTGTCATGACATCTAAAACTACTGTAATCCGAGGCCACACGAGTGCAGTGCGTGTGCATTCCGTGATGACATGTGTACCGCTTGTAATGCGGAAGCTCCTCGTTTCGTCCGTAATTGCAACGTTAAAGTTTCTGCATTTCCTTTGGATCTAGTCCAGGGCGCCGTCTGGTCAGGTTCCGGCCCTGAATTTTCGTCCCGGCCAGGGCGACGTTCGTGGGTGGCAACAAGAACCAGTTATTATTCCGTCACCTCGTCCGCACACGTCTGTTCGGTTCAGGCGGCTTCAAAAGGGTTCATTGAATTCATAATCGCGGCGTAGAGTCCTGGAACTGTGGTTCTTCGCTGGTATAAATGAATTCCCGTTGGCATTCTGCACCCAGTACCTCACTTTTTGTAGTGTAGCAATGCATGCCTGTATCGCTTTTGCATGCCGGGGAGCTCGGGACACGTCCAGTGGACGCTGCCTGTCTTATTCGGTGCTTACTTATCTTTTTCTGTCCAGGATTGAAAACCGAGAGCATCGACTTGCCGACGGAGTATGCTGACTGCGACTTGGGTTCCGGACAGCCGCCATCCCCGTGCGTGCGTGACGGGGAGGAAAGCATCCCTGACTCGAAGGTCCCTGCAGGTGAGTGCGTGTTGTCCAACGACTCTTCTGACAGTGTGCCGCTCCCGCAATTTTGAAGGTTAGGATGACTTCCGGTGGTAATTCTCTAGTTTTAAAAGCTTTATTGCTTCTCTCTGTGTTACGCTGGCATCAACCTTGAGACAAGGGGTAATGGACTCGCAACGGAGCTGGCCGGAATCTCTGCCTTGCGAATCGTAGTTCACTATTTCTTCGACTAAATATGTGATTTTTGAGATGGCTTGGGCACATTTGGAAGGAAGACACATTAAAGTATGCCTAAAATTCAAAGAAGTTTGAATTTTGCCACCAGGGCTCGAAGGAACAGCTTTGTCGTTGTGCTACTTAAATGCGCAGGGCGACGGCCGTGGTGCCAGGGGCGACGCAGGGGGGACGCATCTTCAACTTGCGATAGAAGCTTCCCGATGCCGCAAAAGTGACCGGACACAGTTTGTCTTCGACATGTATCAAGGTGCACGCCATCACTTTTGCGGCATCCGGAAGCTCGTAACGCAAGTTGAAGTTGCGTCCCCCCCTGCGTCACCCCTGGCACCATGGGTAGATGTATCGCGTTTGCATGCCGGGGCGCTCGGTACACGTCCAGGGGACGCTTGCTGTCTTATTGGGTGCTGACTCATTATTTTCTGTCCAGGATTAAAAGCCGAGAGCATCGACTTGCCGACGGAGTTCTCAGACAGTGACTCGGGTTCCGGACAGTCGCCGTGCGTGCCTGACGGCGAGGAAAGCATCCCTGACTCGACGGCCGGTGCAGGTGAGTGAGTTGTGTCCATAGACGCCTTTCGCAGTGTGCCCCTCACGTAACTTTAAACGTTAGCATGACTTCCGGTGGTAGTTTTCTCGTGTTACGCTGCCGCTCGCCTAATTTTGCGTTCGACTGACGGAGGACTATATACAATTATGGTACAGGCCTTTTAAGTTCACTCGGAAACGTTACCAAAAGATGCGATTCGATGGTCGTACACAAATGTACCAACGGAAAAAAGGTCGCTCACAAATTTATATCAGAGAAAAGGGTGATGCTTCCCCAGGAAAACTAGGGCCAATCTCGCTGATGTCTGACCTATTTTTCGGTGACACATTTGTGTACGACCTTTTTTTTAGGTGATAGATGTGTGTATGACCATTTTTGCGGCGATCGTTTCTGTCCGACCTTTTTTTCGGTGATACATTTTGTATCGCCGAAAATTCGTGAGATGCCTCACCCTTTTAATTACAGTGCTGTTACCTCTCAGTGAGCGGGAAAAGCCTCGAAAATCGAGGTTCACCCTTACCGTGGCCTTGGGTTGCAGGCGTCGGCGCGGAGCAGGCCCAGCAGCTGCTCGTCGGCGAGGCCTTCTCCCTCGCAGTGCCGGCTGGCGACGCGGTCCAGGACGAGCAGGCCTCGAGCAAGGAGACGGGCAGGAAGGCGCGCCGCGGATTAAACTGTGGGGAGTGCGGCCAGCGTTTCCGGACTGAGAGCGGATCGCGGGACCACCTTGCAAGTCACACTGAGGGCGGACCTCACTCGTGCGGGGTGTGTGGCAAGGAGTTTCCCTGGAAGAGTGATCTTGTGGAGCACTCGAGGGTCCACACTGAGGAGAAGCCTTTCAAGTGTGATGTGTGCGGAAAGGCATTTTCTAATTCATCTCATTTAGTGAAACACAAGAGGATCCACACCGGGGACAAGCCTTACAAGTGTGACGTCTGCGGGAAGGCAATTTGTGATTCATCTGATTTAGTGAAACACAAAAGGACCCACACTGGGGAGAAGCCTTACAAGTGTGACGTGTGTGGAAAAACATTCGCTGAGTCAGGTCACTTAGTGAGACACAAAAGGATCCACACCGGGGAGAAGCCTTTCAAGTGCGAGGTGTGCGGGAAAAGCTTTTCAGTTTCATCGTATTTAGCAAGGCACAAGAGGATTCACGCTGGGCAGAAGCCGTAGGAATGTGTTGTGTGAGGAAAGACCTTTTCTCCTTCAAATATCGCGAAGTCTCTCGAGGAGACCTACGGCATGTGGACGGACACTCGGGCGTGTGAAACGGCCCCCTCTATAGATCTTTGATTTAAGCACTGTGTGAAACTCCACTATGTTGACCTGATGTCCTCTTTACTATCGGCCTTTTTTTGGTATCAATTATTCCCGTACCGTAAAACTTAATAGTGCCAGTATCAGCACTACGCATTGTTGGCTGAGCGATAGCGAAGCCCTTGCCGTGTTTGGGCGCGCTGAAAAGTGACTGGTCGTGCGTCTGTCTGTTTGTACTCACCAACGATTCTCAGCAACTACAGTGGCTATAGTTTCAAGATTTCGTATTTAACGTCGCCTTAGCACCCCCCAACACGAGTTTGTTTCAAATCGTTGTTTAGTATCGTTTGAAATATTCAAAACATATTTTTGAATCAGGTCATTAACGTGGTTAGGTTGGCAGCGCGGCACCGCTTACCAATTTCTCATACCTGCGGCTCCGCGGCTCTCAAATACGGGACATAGCAAATAAAACGAATTAAAGAGCAGAAGGGTTTGGAAATGAGATCGGCCTTAGTTTTTCAACATTCTAGAATGTTTAAAACCCTTTTGGAACACCAACACAGCGAAATATGGAGAATGGATTTGAGAATGATTTACGTGTTTCGTTCCCCTCTCCCCCCTCCACTGTCAGAGGGGGATCATCTTCAGGTCAGTGCACTTTGACAAAGCATTGTAAAAAAGATGTTTTTATTTTGACCTTTTGTATTGTGTGCATCTTCTTATTTCATTCTAGTGTCATCCTCTTTTTAAATTTTCAAACTGGAGGAAGTCAGGGAAATGCATAAATAACTTGTGTTGAAATTGGCAGGCATACTTAGTTTGGACTCGAGAAATTCATTCTATTGCAATGCTGCAAGCTGACAAGAGTCCAAAAGCACTAACATGTGTTTATTAATAGAATCAATGTATGGTTGTGTATGTTTAATCCTAATAGAGTTTGAATTGATATTGGGTTCAAAGAGACGACTCAGGTTTTGAGCGGTGAGTCAATAAGTGCATAGACAACCAACTATATATATGATTAGTGATGGGATTTAATGAGACTATTCCTTTAACTTCACCAAAGTTAATATAACTGACACTACTTAGTATTGATTACATGAGTAAGATAAATTATGTAGGTTCATTAAGCCTTGGGTAGCCTTGGCATTGGTCTCTATGTGACGAAACACTGGATTTGACAATAATTGGTCCCCGCTAACTGTTTCAGATCAGCCTACCCTAAACTGACTCTTTCAATATTAACTGTGAAAACATATTCCAATCAATATTGTTTTATTCACTGGTTCACAATGAAAGAATGACAAAATGTTTCATAAATATTGCTTATAAAATTGTGAGTTCATAAGTTAAGAAAAAATAGTTATCGAATAGTGACCCAAGCATACGAGTAGCCAATAAAGCGATTGAATGCTGGCAATTGAATTTTACTCGACTGAGGGATTCGCTTTGGTGTGCCATCAGGGAATTGGTGACGACAGAGGGTGCTTCATGAAGACAAATAGAAACAATATACAGAAATTGAGTCTAAAGTATTGTGTGTAGTTTTCAGTGTACTGGTCACAAAAACTACATTTATTTCAACGTCAATGCTACATTTTCATCTAGAGCTACGCAATTTGGGGCCAAACTTTCCAAGATGAGATTTATGTGTTTCCCTGTATTTTTCAGTGCGCTGACCTCAATGTTGACCTCTAAATTGCCTCCTAACCCAAAATTTAACCGACTTTTGGTTAAATTTTTTAAAATTAATTGTACAGTGATTCTTGCAGTTTTTTGAGTGCTGATAACGAAAATCACTCCCATTTTAACACCAGACCTATATTTTCATCCCATATTAGGTCAATTTGGACCAAAAATTTCAAGTCAAGTTTTATATTGTTTCCTGCAGTTTTTGGTGTGCTGAACTCAAAAATGACTTCCAAAATTTTCCCAGACTCACATTAAACCGAATTTTGACCAATTTTGGACCAAAATTTTTAAATCGAGTTTGACATTGATCCCAGCAGTTTTTTGTGTGCTGATAACGAAAATCACTTTCATTTCGACTCCAGACTTATATTTTCATCCCAAATAAGGTCATTTTGGATCAAAATTTTCAAGTCGAGTTCAATATTGTTTCCCACAGGTTTTGGTGTGCTGAACTCAAAAATGACTTCCGAAATTTTCTCAGACTCACGCATTACCGAATTTTGACCAATTCTGGACCAAAATTTTTGAATCGAGTTTGAGGTTTATCCCAACAGTTTTTTGTGTGCTGATAACGAAAATCACTTCCATTTGAACCCCTGGTCTTAAGTTCACTGAATATGAGCCCTTAAGATGGACATTTCGTCTACTCAAGCAAAGTCCAAAGTGCACAAACTATGTCAATTCTCATCGCTCAGCCACACTACGCGCCCAGACTAAACGGCGCGTACCCCTAGTTTATGCTTGAGTTTGTTTTGCTTACTGTTTACATTGATTACATGGAAGGTATTTTCTTTTTATCCTTTGAAAGTGCGCAATTTGTCTCTCTGTGTCGAAACTTTGCCAACTATAGATGTTGATTTTAGAAATAATTATCTAGTGACAATCGACGAGGCAACAGTTAGACTGATTACAAATCACGTGTTGAGTACCATGTTGGTTGTTGCACCTTTTTCTATCCTCCATTGTCGCAGAAAAGCCATTATTGAATTATTGACCATTATTAAATCCAAGGGTTCCATTAATGTTGGCTAGATATGCCTTGCTTTTTTTCTCTGAACTTGTGGTGATCGGACTTGCAGTAGCAGCCGCCCCAATATTATTTTTTCTTCCGTTAGGAACGCGTTGCTGTGAGTGGAATGTTTTTCTTTTTTAATGTATTCATCCTAAATGTATTACGAATAAATTTCCTGTAACACAACAGAAATAGCGCAAGCATAATGCGGAGGTGGTTTTTCTTCGTAATACGAGGGTTTTTGTTGTATCTTCCAATGCAATTGCTGAAAAGTTTCGAATTATTCATTCAAAATTCTTAAAAATAAAATCGGCACCCCTACACTTCTCCCCTCCTACACTTCTCCCCTTTTGGCTAGTAGTTTTCAAATTGTGTGGCGCTTTTGCATGCCGGGGTGCTGGAAACAGGTTTATTGGGAGCTGACTCTTATATCGGATACTGCCTTCCTTATTTTCTGTCCAGATCTGTTAACCGAGAGCATCGACTGAATTCCTCAATCATTAAGTCTGAACCCGGTACCTCACTTGGAGTGAAGTTTTGTGTGTGGCGCTTTTGCATGCCGGGCGCTGGGAACAGGTTTATTGGGAGCTGACTGTCTTATCGTACACTGACTGCCGTATTTTCTGTCCAGATGTGAAGTCCGAGAGCATCGACTTGCCGACGGAGAGTGCTGACTGCGACTGGAGCTCCGGACTGCAGCCGTCCCCGTGCGCGCAGTGCGCTGTGTGCGGTAAGGCCCTCGCCGCCCCCTCTGCGCCCTCGGCTGGTTCTGCCAATGACGGTGGTTCTCTTCCAGGCCCAGGCCATGGCGGTCCATGCCCGCCGCTGGACGGAGTGTTCGACCAGCCTAACGAGGAGGGAAGCATGCCGGACTCCAAGGTCGCTGCAGGTGAGTCTTTCGCGAGGCTTCTTACTCGGCAGCCAATGCAAGTTCTGGAAATGACATGGGGTGGTCCAACTCCACTCTTTAGACTCTTTTACGACACGCACGCTTAATGTTTCACTACTTTAATTGATCATAACCATGGCCAAATTAGTATTTACGCAAGCTCTGTACAATTTCATACGAATATTTGAGGTAATATTTCATATTGTGCTTCGGTATTTTCGAAATTGTACATAATTCATGTTCAAATTTGAGCATAACTTTAAAATGTGCAAATATGGCCGTAGTTACGGACAAACAGGCTCTAAGAATTCAGTGTGCGAGACTTGGCGCTGTTCCGCGACCCTGCCGCGAGTTAAAGTGCATTCTCTTGATAGGTGGTCAACCATTTTGCAGGGCAGCCTGCTTGAAATTGCACTTGTCTGTTGAATTTATCGGCACGGGATTACGGTATAGGGCAAAGAACTTAGTGCAATCTGACAAAAACTCAAGGAAACCTCGATTCTCCGTTAAGGGCCACACAACTTTCTGCCACTGCAACCTCTGCGAAAAGTTATCGCAAGGAAAGCCTGGAAAGTCGTGGTCCGTCTTACCATGGCCGTCCCTTGGTTGCAGGCGTCGGCGCGGAGCAGGCCCAGCAGCTGCTCGTCGGCGAGGCCTTCTCCCTCGCAGTGCCGGCTGGCGACGCGGTCCAGGACGAGCGGGCCTCGAGCAAGGAGACGGGCAGGAAGGCGCGCCGCGGATTCAACTGTGGGGGCCAGCGTTTCCGGACTGAGAGCGGATTGCGGGACCTTCTTGCAAGTCACACTGAGGGCGGACCTCACTCGTGCGGTGTGTGTGGCAAGGAGTTCTCCTGGAAGAAACATCTTGTAACGCACTCGAGGATCCACACCGGGGAGAAGCCTTTCCAGTGTGATGTGTGCGGAAAGGCATTTTCTCAAGCATCTAATTTGGTAAAACACAAGAGGATCCACACTGGGGAGAAGCCTTTCCAGTGTGATGTGTGCGGAAAGGCATTTTCTCAAGCATCTAATTTGGTAAAACACAAGAGGATTCATACTGGGGAGAAGCCTTACAAGTGTGACGTCTGCGGGAAGGCATTTTCTGATTCATGTAATTTAGTGAGACACAAGAGGATGATTCACACTGGCGAGAAGCCTTGAAAGCGTGACGTGCGCGGGAAGGCATTTTCTGATTTATCTTATTCAGTGAAACACAAGAAGATTGCGCCCCCTACAGTGAACTTTGATTGAAGCACTGAGTGTCGAACTTTACCATGTTAACCAAATGTTTTCGTTTTCATTTATATCAGTTATGTTAGTTCCGTAATACTTTAAAGTAACAGTATCTGTATAAATTTGTTTCTTTTTTTTCGTATTTGAGTTTGATTTTACTCTCCAGGAACGTGACATCACGTTCAAACGAATGTGACAAAATGTCACAAAATGACAAAATGACAATTTGACGCATTTGTTTGAACGCGATGTCACGCTCCTGGGATGATAATGTTATGAACCGTTATGGTTTCGAATGTGGAAGATTATTTTTGTATCGGTCCCCTTCTCGAAAGTTAGACATTTGTTTCTCGTTTAAACTTATGCCAATTATAGATGCTGTTAATTATAGAAATGATTATTTTCAGGTGCATATGAGACAACAGGAAGAGTGATGATTAAAACCGCGTGCTTCGTAGCCTGTAGTTTGTAGCACCTCATCGTTTCCTCTGCGAGAAAGAAAATGGATGTCGTGTCCGTGGTCGAATCCACAGTGTTTTTACCTTTCATGCTGTCTTACATCCCTTGCTTCTTTCCCTTTAGTTTGGTCGGACATGCTGAAGCAGCCGCCGATTCAAAGTATACCCTAATTTTTAAATTTGCGTTTGAGGCACAGTTTGGCTTAAGTGGAATGCGCACTCTCATTACAGGAACGTGTCACCATGTTGAAATAAACGTGACGAAATGTCACGTTCGCTTGAGCATTATGTCACATTCGTTTGAATGTAAACCGGCCAAAAATTAGCTGATTCGCATTCAAACGAATGTGACACACTGCTCAAACGAACGTGACACTCTGTCACGATCGTTTCAACGTGATGTCTCGATCCTGGAACGAGAGTGCATCCGGTCGAATTCGATGCCACATTTGTTGGAACTCGCAGGAGATTCCGAGCGCTATGAATATGGCAACGGCACGTATGGTGCAATGCATTGAGACATCGCACCATACGTGCAATGCCGTAGCCATATTGCATGGAAAGGCATTGCACTTGAAGTGCACGCGAGTGTGACGTCACATTCGTCGAATGAATTACTGTGAGGAAATTCCGCCGGGTTGCGATGGAGTTCCGGAGAGGAGCAGTCTAGATGCTTCGCTCTCAGACTCGTGTTGACTTTCTTCTTTTAAATATTGACATTTTCTCCTTTGCCTACTTGGTTTTCTAAGCAGCAATAATAAGGAGTTTGTCCTTGGAACCATGTTTAGTATTGTTCCCTGCAAAGACTAAATTGTCACCAATTATTGACAATTTTTGAAGTCAATTGCGACTCCTTGTCATAGGAAACTGATTTTGAGTCAACGTAACGTACAGAATCGTACATAGCTTTAGAGGACATAGTACTTTTTTATTGGTGCTTTTCAACCTCGTTACTTAGAGACGAAAAGTCAACAAAAGTCTGAGAGTTTTCGCGGTGCTTAAACCTTAAAGGTCCTGGTAGCATCAACTTTTTCCCTGCCGCTGATGGACGGAGTGCAATCGCTGCTTTCACGGACACTAACTTTGTCTCTTCGGTTGCAGGTGTCGGCGCGGACCAGACCCAGCGGTTCCTACAAGAGTTAAACCCTACGAAGCATTGTATTTTTAGGCATGCAAACGAAGAAATAATTCGTTAATTACGATTCATTTTCTTTGTAAATTTACGTATGCTTAAAATGTTTTGTTATTTGAAGTTATTTTACTTCGCTACGGAGCGTTCACAAATTACGTAAGGCCCCCGAGATGGTGGTGGTGGGGGGTCGGCAAATCGTTACTAGGGTTTTATGTGGGGGGTTGGGGGTCTAAAGCAAGATATATGTAAGGTTTCTGAAACGCGCTAAAATGGGTTACAGTTCGTAGGGTTTTTTAAAGGTATCAAGTGAGACCCACTCCCTGGCAGTGCAGGCTGAGTCGCAGTGTGCGATGGGGAGTGGTCCTTGTCATGACATCTAAAACTACTGTAACCCGAGGCCACACGAGTGCAGTGCGTGTGCATTTCGTGATGATATGTGTACCGCTTGTAATGCGGAAGCTCCTCGTTTCGTCCGTAATTGCAACGTGAAAGTTTCTGCATTTCCTTTGGATCTAATCCAGGGCGCCGTCTGGTCAGGTTCCGGCCCTGAATTTTCGTCCCGGCCAGGGCGACGTTCGTGGGTGGCGACAAGAACCAGTTATTATTCCGTCACCTCGTCCGCACACGTCTGTTCGGTTCAGGCGGCTTCAAAAGGGTTCATTGAATTCATAATCGCGGCGTAGAGTCCGGGAACTGTGGTTCTTCGCTGGTATAAATGAATTCCCGTTGGCATTCTGCACCCAGTACCTCACTTTTTGTAGTGTAGCAATGCATGCCTGTATCGCTTTTGCATGCCGGGGAGCTCGGGACACGTCCAGTGGACGCTGCCTGTCTTATTGGGTGCTTACTTATCTTTTTTCTGTCCAGGATTGAAAATCGAGGGCATCGACTTGCCGACGGAGTATGCTGACTGCGACTTGGGTCCCGGACTGCAGCCGTCGCCGTGCGTGCCTGACGGGGAGGAAAGCATCCCTGACTCGAAGGTCGCTGCAGGTGAGTGCGTGTTGTCCAACGACTCTTCTGACAGTGTGCCGCTCATGCAATTTTGAAGGTTAGGATGACTTCCGGTGGTAATTTTCTAGTGTTAAAAGTTACATCGCTTCTCTCTGTGTTACGCTGGCATCAACCATGAGACAAGGGGTAATGAACTCGTAACGGAGCTGGCCAGAATATCTGCCTCGCGAATTGTAGTTCACTATTTCTTCGACTAAATATGCGATTTTTGAGATGGCTTGGGCACATTTGGAAAGAAGACATATTAAAGTATGCCCAAAATTCACAGAAGTTTCAATTTTCCCACCAGGGCTCGAAGGAACAGCTTTGTCGTTGTGCTACTTAAATGCGCAGGGCGACGGCCGTGGTGCCAGGGGCGACGCAGGGGGGACGCATCTTCAACTTGCGATAGAAGCTTCCCGATGCCGCAAAAGTGACCGGACACAGTTTGTCTTCGACATGTATCAAGGTGCACGCCATCACTTTTGCGGCATCCGGAAGCTCGTAACGCAAGTTGAAGTTGCGTCCCCCCTGCGTCACCCCTGGCACCATGGGTATATGTATCGCTTTTGCATGCCGGGGCGCTCGGGACACGTCCAGGGGACGCTTGCTGTCTTATTAGGTGCTGAGTGCTGACTCATTATTTTCTGTCCAGGATTAAAAGCCGAGAGCATCGACTTGCCGACGGAGTTCTCAGACAGTGACTCGGGTTCTGGACAGTCGCCGTGCGTGCCTGACGGGGAGGAAAGCATCCCTGACTCGAAGGCCGGTGCAGGTGAATGAGTTGTGTCCATAGACGCCTTTCGCAGTGTGCCCCTCTCGCAACTTTAAACGTTAGCATGACTTCCGGTGGTAGTTTTCTCGTGTTACGCTGCCGCTCGCCTAATTTTGCGTTCGACTGACGGAGGACTACATACAATTATGGTACAGGCCTTTTAAGTTCACTCGGAAACGTCACCGAAAGATGCGATTCGATGGTGGTACACAAATGTACCAACGGAAAAAAGGTCGCTCACAAATTTATATCAGAGAAAAAGGTGATGCTTCCCCAGGAAAACTAGGGCCAATCTCGCTGATGTCTGACCTATTTTTCGGTGACACATTTGTGTATGACCTTTTTTTTAGGTGATACATTTTGTATCGCCGAAAATTCGTGAGATGCCTCACCCTTTTATTACAGTGCTGTTACCTCTCAGTGAGCGGGAAAAGCCTCGAAAATCGAGGTCCACCCTTACTCCTCTTACCGTGGCCGTGGGTTGCAGGCGTCGGCGCGGAGCAGGCCCAGCAGCTGCTCGTCGGCGAGGCCTTCTCCCTCGCAGGCAACGCGGTCCAGGATGAGCAGGCCTCGAGCAAGGAGACGGGCAGGAAGGCGCGCCGCGGATTCAACTGTGGGGAGTGCGGCCAGCGTTTCCGGACTGAGAGCGGATTGCGGGACCACCTTGCAAGTCACACTGAGGGCGGACCTCACTCGTGCGGGGTGTGTGGCAAGGAGTTCTCCAAGAATTGGCATCTTGTGAGGCACTCGAGGATCCACACCGGGGAAAAGCCTTACAAGTGTGACGTCTGCGGGAAGGCATTCACTAAGTCAAATCATTTAGTGAAACACAAGAGGACCCACACTGGAGAGAAGCCCTACAAGTGTGACGTCTGCGGGAAGGCAATTTCTGATTTATCTGATTTAGTGAAACACAAAAGGACCCACACTGGGGAGGAGCCTTACAAGTGTAACTCGTGTGGAAAGAAGTTCTCGCATTCATCTGCTTTCGTGAGACACAAGAGGATCCACACCGGGGAGAAGCCATACAAGTGTGACGTCTGCGGGAAGGCATTTTCTGATTCATCTGCTTTAGTGAATCATAAGAGGACCCACACCGGGGAGAAGCCCTTTAAATGCAAGGTGTGCCTGAAAAGCTTTTCAGTTTCATCGAATTTAGCAGCGCACAAGAGGATTCACGCTGGGCAGAAGCCGTAGGAATGTGTTGTGTGAGGAAAGACCTTTTCTATGTCAAATATCGCAAAGTCTCTCGAGGAGACCTACGGCATATGGACACTCACGCGTGTGAAACGGCCCCTTCTATCTATAGATCTTTGATTCAAGCACTCGGTGTGAAACTCCACTATGTTAACCTGATGTCCTCTTCTCTGTCGACCTTTTATTTGCAGCAATTATTCCCGTACCGTAAAACTTAATAGTGCCAGTATCAGGACTACGTATTGTTTATGTTTGAGTTTGTTTTGCTTACTGTTTACATTGATTACATGGAATATATTTTCTTTTTATTCTTTGAAAGTGCGCAATTTGTCTCTCTGTGTCGAAACTTTGCCAACTATAGATGTTGATTTTAGAAATGATTATCTAGTGACAATCGACGAGACAACAGTAAGACTGATTACAAATCTCGTGTTGAGTACCATGTAGGTTGTAGCACCTTTTCCTATCCTCCCTTGTCGAGAAAACAGCAAATAGACCATTATTGAATCCAAGGGTTTCTACCATTAATGTTGGCTAGATATGCCTTGCTTTCTTCCCTTAACTTGTGGTGATCGGACTTAAAGTGGCAGCCGCCCCAATCTTAATTTTTTTTTTTTTTGCTTTTCACGAACGTGTTATGCTGTAAGTGGAATCCTTTTCTTTTTTAATGTACTCATCCTCAATGTATTACGAATAAATTTCCTGTGACACAACAGAAATGGCACAAGCATAATGCGGAGGTGGTTTTTCTTCGTAATACGAAGGTTTTTGTTGTATCTTCCTATTAAATTGCTGAGAAGTTCCGATTTATTCATTCAAAGTTCTTTAAAAATATAATGTGCCCCCCTGCACTACTCCCCTTTTGGCTAGTAGTTTTCAAATTGTGTGGCGCTTTTGCATGCTGGGGCGCTGGGAACAGGTTCATTGGGAGCTGACTCATTTATCGGATACTGCCTTCCTTATTTTTCTGTTCAGATCTGTAAACCGAGAGCGTCGACTGCATTCCTCTATAATTAAATCTGAACCCGATACCTCACTTTGTAGTGTAGTTTTTGTGTGTGGCTTTTGCATGCCAGGTTCTTTTGGGGGCCGACTCTTATGTCGGATGCTGACTCCCTTGCTTTCTGTCCAGATGTGAAGGCCGAGAGCATCGACTTGCCGACGGAGAGTGCTGACTGCGACTGGAGCTCCGGACTGCAGCCGTCCCCGTGCGTGCAGTGCGCTGTGTGCGGTAAGGCCCTCGCCGCCCCCTCGGCGCCCTCGGCTGGTTCTGCCAATGACGGTGGTTCTCTTCCCGGCCCAGGCCATGGCGGTCCGTGCCCGCCGCTGCACGGAGTGTTCGACCAGCCTGGCGAGGAGGGGAGCATGCTGGACTCCAAGGGCGCTGCAGGTGAGTCTTTTGGGAGGCTTTTTATCAATTGCTTCGACAGCCTATGCGAGTCCTTAAAAATTTTTTCTGGGTTGTCGAACTCCGCTCCGTGCGTTCCCTCACGACACCCATACTAAATGTTCAGAACTTTTATTGTTCATGATCATTAGTATATACGCAAGCTCTAGACAATTTTATACGAACACTTGGGACAATATTTCATATAAATCTTCATAATTATGAAATTTACCTGATTTTTATTCAAATTTGAAATCTTTTTTCGTCGTGGTCCTTCTTTAACGTGGCCGTCCCCCGGTTGCAGGCGTCGGCGCGGAGCAGGCCCCGCAGGCCGGCTGGCGACGCGGTCCAGGACGAGCAGGCCTCGAGCAAGGAGACGGGCAGGAAGGCACGCCGCGGATTCAACTGGGGGAGTGCGGCCAGCGTTTCCGGACTGAGAGCGGATCGCGGGACCACCTTGCAAGTCACACTGAGGGCGGACCTCACTCGTGCGGGGTTGTGGGAAGGGGTTCCCCTGGAAGAGTGATCTTGTAGAGCACTCGAGGGTCCACACTGAGGAGAAGCCTTTCAAGTGTGATGTGTGCGGAAAGGCATTTTCTAATTCATCTCATTTAGTGAAAAACAAGAGGATCCACACCGGGGGCAAGCCTTACAAGTGGACGTCTGCGGGAAGGCAATTTGTGATTCCGAGCGCTATGAATAGGGCAACGGCACGTATGGTGCAATGCATTGAGACATCGCACCATACGTGCAATGCCGTAGCCATATTGCATGGAAAGGCATTGCACTTGAAGTGCACGCGAGTGTGACGTCACATTCGGAATGAATTACTGTGAGGAAATTCCGCCGGGTTGCGATGGAGTTCCGGAGAGGAGCAGTCTAGATGCTTCGCTCTCAGACTCGTGTTGACTTTTTTCTTTTAAATATTGACATTTTCTCCTTTGCTTACTTGGTTTTCTAAGCAGCAATAATAAGAAGTTTTTCCGTGGAACCATGTTTAGCTTTGTTCCCTGCAAAGACTAAATTGTCACCAATTATTGACAATTTTTGAAGTCAATTGCGACTCCTTGTCATAGGAAACTGATTTTGAGTCAACATAACGTACAAAATCTTACATAGCTTTAGAGGAAATAGTACTTTTTTATTGGTGCTTTTCAACCTCTTTACTAAGAGAAGAAAAGTCAACAAAAGTCTGAGAGTGTTCGCGGTGCTTAAACCTGAAAGATCCTGGTAGCATCACCTTTTTCCCTGCCGCTGATGGACGGAGTGCAATCGCTGCTTTCACGGACACTAACTTTGTCTCTTCGGTTGCAGGTGTCGGCGCGGACCAGACCCAGCGGTTCCCACAAGAGTTAAACCCTACGAAGCATTGTATTTTTAGGCATGCAAACGAAGAAATAATTCGTTAATTACGATTCATTTTCTTTGTAAATTTACGTATGCTTAAAATGTTTTGTTATTTGAAGTTATTTTACTTCGTTACGGAGCGTTCACAAATTACGTAAGGCCCTCGAGGGGGTGGGGGTGGGGGGTCGGCCAATCGTTACTTGGGTCTTATGTGGGGGCTTTGGTGGGTCTAAAGCAGATATATGTAAGGTTTCTGAAACGCGCTAAAATGGGTTACAGTCCGTAGGGTTTTTAAATGTATCTAGTGAGACCCACTCCCTGGCAGTGCAGGCTGAGTCGCAGTGTGCGATGGGGAGTGGTCCTTGTCATGACATCTAAAACTACTGTAACCCGAGGCCACACGAGTGCAGTGCGTGTGCATTTCGTGATGATATGTGTACCGCTTGTAATGCGGAAGCTCCTCGTTTCGTCCGTAATTGCAACGTGAAAGTTTCTGCATTTCCTTTGGATCTAGTCCAGGGCGCCGTCTGGTCAGGTTCCGGCCCTGAATTTTCGTCCCGGCCAGGGCGACGTTCGTGGGTGGCGACAAGAACCAGTTATTATTCCGTCACCTCGTCCGCACACGTCTGTTCGGTTCAGGCGGCTTCAAAAGGGTTCATTGAATTCATAATCGCGGCGTAGAGTCCTGGAACTGTGGCTCTTCGCTATTCCCGTTGGCATTCTGCACCCAGTACCTCACTTTTTGTAGTGTAGCAATGCATGCCTGTATCGCTTTTGCATGCCGGGCGCTCAGGACACGTCAAGTGGACGCTGCCTGTCTTATTGGGTGCTTACTTATCTTTTTCTGTCCAGATTTGAAAATCGAGAGCAGCGACTTGCCGACGGAGTATGCTGACTGCGACTTGGGTCCGGACTGCTGCCGTCGCCGTGCGTGCCTGACGGGGAGGAAAGCATCCCTGACTCGAAGGTCCTGCAGGTGAGTGCGTGTTGTCCCAAAGACTCTTCTGACAGTGTGCCGCTCCCGCAATTTTTAAGGTTAGGATGACTTCCGGTGGTAATTTTCTAGTGTTAAAAGTTTTATTGTTCTCTCTGTGTTACGCTGGCATCAACCATGAGACAAGGGGTAATGGACTCGTAACGGAGCTGGCCGGAATATCTGCCTTGCGAATTGTATTCACTATTCTCAGACTTAATATGCGAATTTTGAGATGACTTAATGAAGACACCTTAAAGCATGCCAAAATTTTAAAGAAGTTTCAATTTTCCCACCAGGGCTCGAAGGAACAGCTTTGTCGTTGTGCTACTTAAATGCGCAGGGCGACGGCCGTGGTGCTAGGGGCGACGCAGGGGGGACGCATCTTCAATTTGCGATAGAAGCTTACCGATGCCGCAAAAGTGCATTTTGGGAAAAAATCACAGTAAATTCTGTAGTGATTAGTACAGCTGTCACTGTAGTTCAGAGTACAGGATTTACTGTACTTTTTTTTCAGGATCTACTGTCCTTCGTACGGGATTCACTGTTACCACAGGAGTGGAGTACGGAATATCCTGTACCAGGTACAGTAAATGCTGTAACCCGGCACAGTAAATACTGTGTCCTGAACTACATTAAATCCCGGCAAAAAAAAATTTAAAGGGATTTACTGTGGTTTTTTTTGCACAGTGGACCGGAAAAGTTTGTCTTCGACATGTATCAAGGGCACGCCATCACTTTTGCGGCATCCGGAAGCTCGTAACGCAAGTTGAAGTTGCGTCCCCCTGCGTCACCCCTGGCACCATGGGTAGATGTATCGCTTTTGCATGCCGGGGCGCTCGGTACACGTCCAGGGGACGCTTGCTGTCTTATTGGGTGCTGACTCATTATTTTCTGTCCAGGATTAAAAGCCGAGAGCATCGACTTGCCGACGGAGTTCTCAGACAGTGACTCGGGGTTTCCCGGGCAGTCGCCGTGCGTGCCTGACGGGGGGGAAAGC